CTACCTTGTCTCACATGGAAGTAAATCTGGCCGAAGGCAAAGGTTTGATAAATATGTCAGCAATTTGATCTGCAGAAGGTAGATATTCAATTTCTAGTTCCTTATTTGTCACTTTGTCTCTCACAAAATGTATCTCAAGCTCAATATGTTTAGTCCTGGCGTGAAACTGGATTTAATGCTAATGATTTAGTTCCTAAGTTGTTGCACCACACAATTGGAGTTGTTTCAGAAAGACTTTTAAGTTCACTGAGCAGAGATTGTGTCCAGCAAACTTCAAAAGTTACGTGTGCCAAGGCTCTATATTCTGCTTCCGTACTTGAACGAGCAACAACATGTTGTTTCTTAGCACTCCATGATATACACAGTAGCCTGCTATTAATCGCCTGTCGTCTGGACAAGCAGCCCAGTCAGCATCACAGAATGCAGTCAGGTTGAGATCACCTCCTTTCTGTATTCTAAGTCCAAAATCTGCAGTTCCCTTAAGATATCTGAAAACTCTTTTAAGTAGATTCCAATGTATGTCTGTTGGTTTCTGCAGAAATTGACTTAGTCTGTTCACAGCGAATGATAAATCTGGCCTAGAGTGAACTAAGTACTATAGAGGACCAACTGAACTTTTGAAGAGTGTTAGGTTGTTCAACTCTGTACCTTCCTCCTTTGAGATCAGTTTTCCAGCTATCATAGGAGTTGTTACTGGATTTAGACTGCTGAACCCGAACCTTTTTATGATATCCAGTGCATACTTGTTTTGCGAGAACACTAAACCAGCTTCATCTCTTTTTATTTCAATTCCTAGGAACTTCCTTAAGTTCCCCATGTCTTTGAGTGGAAATTTTTCATTTAACTTATCAATGAATTTTTGCAAGTGTTGCTTGTTACTCCCTGTAACAATGATATCATCAACATATATGAGAATAATGATAGTACTGTTGTCTTCCAACTGATAGTAGAGAGAATTATCAGCCTTTGATTGAGTGATTCCCCATTTAATTAATGTACCTTTCAAATCATCATTCCAAGTTCTTGGAGCTTGTTTCAGTCCATAAATTGCCCTCCTTAACTTACACACAAAATCAGGAAACTTGCTATCAATGAATCCTTCAGGCTGAGACATATAAACCTCCTCATTGAGTTTCCCATTGAGGAATGCATTATTTACATCGATTTGTCTGATATCCCAGTCATTCGTCACCGCCAGTGTTAGAATGATCTTTATGGTTGATGCCTTAATTACTGGACTGAAAGTCCCTTGTAATCAACCCCATAAGTTTGCAAGAAACCTTGAGCAACCAGCCTTGCTTTGTACCTTTCTATGTTTCCCTCACAGTCATATTTCAACTTGTAGATCCATTTACAACCTATCACTTTGGTTGCTTTTTCTCGAGGAACCAATTTCCAGGTCTGATTTCTTTGTAGCGCCTCAAATTCTGCCTGCATTGCTCTTCTCCAGTTATTATTAGATAGAGCTTCTCTGACATTGGTTGGTTCTGAAATTTCAGCTGAGTAAACCTAGGTTTAAATATTCCAAGTTTTCCCCTTGTCATCATGGGATGTCCTGAATGTTGTGAGTCAACTTCAATGTTTTCTCTTGTCACTATTCTTGCTTCTGTTTCGTTCATAATAGACACAGCATCACCCAACTCTTCCACTCCTTCATGATGTATACTATCTCCTCCTGTATCTTGTGTGTTATCAGAACTATTAACAGGAACTAAGGGTGACTGAGATGCTGAGTGATGGACATCTTGAGTTGTTTGGATGGGAGTGGCAAATTCTGTAGTATCTGACTGATGATTTGGTGAAGTGTGAGGTTGTGATGTGTGTGTGGAGGTTAAGTTTTGAGAGTTTGTTCTCAGTGGCAGTGGAAATGTGATTATTGTAGAGTCAATTAACTGTGTGAGTTTGTCAAGAAACCCGATTTTAAATGGAAATTCAGTTTCATTAAACACCACATGTCTGGAGATAAACACCCCTCATGTAGGACTTAGACACTTATATCCTTTATGAGATGCACTAAAACCTAATTCACACACTTTTGAGAGTGAAAACGAAAATTTGTGTTTATTATAGGGTCTTAAATATGGATAACAGCTACAGCCAAATACCCTTAATGTTTCATACTTCACTTCCTTTTTGCATAGGAGTTGATAAGGTGTTTTGAGGCCAAGTATAGGAGTTGGTAGTCTGTTTATAAGGTAGGTAGCCATTGAAAAAGCTTCCCACCAGTAGTAAAGAGGTATTTCAGCTTGTGCCAACAGGGTAAGAGCTGTTTCAGTCAAGTGTCTATGTTTTCTTTCAGCTCTACCATTTTGAGGTGAAGTATAAGGACAAGAGAACCTCATTTCTATTCCATTTTCTATAGCAACCTTCTCAAAAACTCTAAACTCTCCCCCATAGTCAGTTTGAATAGTCTTTATCTTTCTACCAAACTGATTTTCTACCAAATTTTTGAATTGTATGAAAAACTTTATGGATTCTGACTTGTGTTTCATAGGATAGGTCCAGGTATATCTACTAAAATCATCCACAAAAACTATGTAATACCTAAATCCAACAGTAGATTTTACAGGTGATGGTCCCCAGACATCTGTGTGTATTAAATCTAATGGATTTGTGGCATGTGAAACAGATAGCTTGAACGGTAGTTTATGTGCTTTGCCAATTTGACATGAGTCACGGAAAAAAGAGATTCCATTAGCTGAAAACTGTTTATTACACGATTTCATCACAGAACTCAATACTTGAAGAGAAGGATGACCTAGTCTCCTATGCCAAATTTCTACTTGCTGAGACTGAGCCTGAGATTTATTACAGACTGAAGAAGAAGAAGAAGAAGAAGAAGAAGAAGAAGAAGAAGAAGAAGAAGAGAGTACTGGGAATTTTGAAATTGTTAGAGCTGATTCTTGAGAGTGAGCTTTTGGTAAAGTCAACTGGTAGAGTCCATCTTTAAGCATCCTTTGAGCCACCGATTTCCCCGTTAGCAATTCCTTGACAACAAAAAGTTAGGATGAAATTCAAAGTACACTCCATTATCTCCAGTAAACTGTGACACACTAAGCAGGTTTTTCTTAATGTTGGGAACATGTAAAAGTTTATTCTAAACTTCTATTGCCATTATCAGAAAGAATTTTAAAACCAGTATGAGTGATAGGTAGAGAATTACCATTGCCAATCTTAATGCTTTCATTACCAGTATATATATGTGCATCTGTCAGATTTTTTAAGTTATTGGTGACATGGCTAGATGCTCCAAAATCTGCATACCAAGCTAGATCTTACAGTATATTAGGAGATGCCAGATATGCTGAGTGAGTATCAACGTTGCTGTGGCTAGATCCTGCTGCCTCTCCAGTTTTCATATTACCAAAATTTTCATTATATCTCTTGAAGCACCAACCAGCTTGATGATTTAATAGCCTACAAATTTGACAGGGATTTTTGTACTCATTTTGTCTGTTACTTCTTCCTCTGCCTCTTGCTCTGCCTCTGTCGCCTGCATTTCTGCCAATTCCTCTCGATCTAGTACCAAAATTTCCTCCTCTGTTATATCCTTAACTGAGATTGATGGTTCCTATACCAATTCTGGCTTCATTTAAGTAGTCAAGTCTTGCTTCAAATGTGAGGAAAATAGATGTCATTTCATGCCAGTTTAGCTGTTCTTTTCCATTTAGCTGAACCATAACCGGAGTGTAATCTTCATCGAGTCTAGTCAACACATGATTAATGAGATCTTCTTCATTAATGACCTTACCTGCAACTTGCAGATTATCAGCCAGTTTCTTCATTTTAGTAAGATACTGGTCCATAGTCATTGCTCCTTTCCTGAGCCTCTGTAACTCTCCAGAAAGAAAAATCATTCTTGATTTGTTTAATACTCCAAAACTTTGCTGAATAGCTGACCAGAGTTCTGTAGTAGTACTTCTTCCCAAGACTCTCATGGTTATATCTGGAGACATTAAGGCATAAAGCCATCCCATAAGGAGGGAATCACTAGAAATCCACTTGATATATTCTGGGTTTTCTTCCTGCTTGGTTATAGTTCTTGATTCAGTTGACTCTTGAATAGATATGAACTCAGGTGGACAGGGCTTCGTTCCAAGTAAGTGACCTTCAAGATTATGCCCTTTTACGATAGGCATAACCATGTTTTTCCATAGCAAAAAATTGTCTCTATCCAACTTAATGGAGAGGTTTTGAGTTAGATTTAGTGTAGTTGATTGAAGACGAGCTGTGGAAGTTGTTGATAGTGAAGATGAGTTGGTTTGAGACTGAGTTCAAAAAATTCAGCCATGGCTCTGATACCAAGATAAATTATCAACAAGAAGATAGGTCTTTACTGATGAATTCAAAAGATAACAACTCAATCTCAGATCATGAATTTACAGCAAAAGCAACTCTATATAAAACAATAAATCTATACATACACTATATGAATCTAACAATGGTAAATATCCAAAAAATCGATTCACGTGCCTGGCCTTGCACCATCGATTATTCATACAGCAAATCCCTAAGATCATGGAAGGCTAACTGAATGAATTGAAGAATAATAGTGCTCAGCTCAACGAACAGAAAGGAGAGAGAGATTTTTCAGCATAAAGGGTAAAGCGTGTTTTCCTTCTTCTTACGTTTTATTAGACTTTGAGTTCTTATCAAGTTCATCCCCCAAGTTCCAATTTGCTGAATATCGTCCTTCAGTTTTAATTTTATCTGATACAGAATCATACTCAATTAATTTCGACGGTCGAGAAGAAAATGGAAATCAAACGCTCATTCGTTTATATATTTACGTATTCACATTAATGGAATGCGTAAAAATTTATCGACTAACCTTTGTGAGAAATATGGCTGCGTAAGTAGCAGTTCGATTCTCTCCACTTTCCCCAATGACTAAGACATAAATCAAGCACATGAGACCAAGATATAAAGTGCATGTTCGATTCCAACAACTAAAATTATCGATCCACCAGTAAATGAAGCAAAACCAAAAGTACACTGCTCTACCAGTTTTCAAGTCGTTCTGCAGTGTTAAGTTCTTCGTCATCTACAAGTTGGGAATAAATGGAAGTTGATGCATTATCGGAATAACTTTCCATATGTCGATTTATGCGCAAGAGAATCACATTGGGAATAGGAACCGTACCATGTGCTAATCCTTCCCAATCAGCCCCATGAAACCAAGGATGACGTTTGATAGAGTCGATGCCTTGGCTTCCTAGTCTTGCGCTTTCATCAACTTCAAGTAACTGAACCTCTGTGAAACTTTATAAAAGGAGGAAATAACTCCATACTTTCAGTTTCACCTTAGTGATAAGATCAACAGCTTCAAGGCTGAAAGTTTGTGGAAGGGTTAGCTGTTCTTTTGCAGTTCTAGCAAATGCAAGCTCACTTTCTCTCCAAGATCCAAAAGGCATTTCACCTTGTAGCATGAAGAAGATTAAAGTTCCCAATGCCCACCTAATCAACATAAATAAGTGAAGAAATTCTAGGATGGCAGATATTGAGAAAGAAGAAGCATTAATATTAATAATCCACTATTCAACCATTGAAAATTAATGGTTATACTCACATACAGAAGGTCAAATCATCTAAGGAAACCAATAATGAACTTTGTCGAAGATGATGAACATCTACAAATGTAAGTACGCTCCTTATTTTGATGCAACGAAAGAAAAAATGATGAATTGTGAGAAAAATATTCGAGTATGGTTCAATTTACATATGGTTCAGAATCTTGCTACATGTACCCTTTGGGGTACATGTTGGTTTACTCGGCCCCACCCTCTCCCTCACATGGGGTCGGGTTCCACGCATTTATTGGATGTGGGACCCGACCCCCATGTGAGGGAGGAGGTGAGGTCAGGTAAACCAAAGTGTACCACAAATGATACAAATAACATAATTGTATGGTTTATTGTGCATTATTAGTTTGATTCCTATTTTTTTCAAAATACATTTTCTCTGCTTCGTTTCAACCACGGTTTCTTTATTAGAATAATATTACGCGTAAATTAAAAACTTTTCATTATTTTTTAGCCACATATTCTCCATCAATCTACTATTCTAAAATACATTTTTCAAAAAAATGGGGCTCAAACAGCCTATTTTTTTTAGATTTGAATTGAATTGTACAAAAAAGGATTATTACTCTTCGAACACGAGCATTGAACAATATTTCAACATTTTAAAATGTCTGCATATATATATGTTTTGGTGACTCTCCTCAAACTAGTGTGACTCCACGTTGGAGATCTCATGCTGTGACTACTTAGGCTTTGCCCTTTCAATTTCAAATGGCTAACCATCTCATATCTTAAAAACTAGTATGTTAGAGAAGAATGACGTGTATTTATTTAAATTTCGTCTTTAATATGCCCCTCATGGGTAGTCTTTCAATTAAAATGCTTAGTAATGCTTTTCCTTAAATTGTAGATGTCTGACAGCAAAAAAAAAGAAAAAAAACCAACATATCGCACGCATGTTCTCGTACTCATATAACTTGGAAGTGCATTGATACGTGTATCTTACAAGTTACATGCTTACCAATGTTCCTAAATTAGCTTAAAAATTATTTGAATTTTTCCCCTTGTACAGTCATTAATGGACTGTAAAATGTACGGCTCTGACTGATTAGCTTGAGCCCCACTGATTAATTAATCAGTGGGGCCCACGCTAATCAGTTAAGGCTGTAAAATTTACAATTCATTAAGGACATCTTTCAAATTATTTAATGTAGTGATTTTTTAATCACCTTATCTTGTATTTGACTTTTTTAGGCTAAATTCCCAATTTAACAATGATTGATCATTTTTGTAAACTTATTTTTGGGATTCTATGGCTTTCGAAGCACATTTTTTTGGACTTTTGAAGGCCTATATAATTATAAAATCCTTGTAATGTAGGGTAAGGATTATGTTAGGTAGGGTGGGTGGATGAGATTGGTCGCGGGGAATATAATTTTTTTAAATCTTTTCTGTACATAAATACGTATTTAATTATTTTAAATGAGATTTATTTGTATTTTTTGAAAAGTTATTGATTCTATTTGTATTTATTTATTTATTTACTTTTTTTTTTAAGAGGATGAAATCCGTTATTTAATGGTCAAGATGGAGGAAATAATGAATTATATTACAAAATTGAAAGGTTGAAGATAGATTGTGTTGAAAAAATATTGAGTGTTAAGTTGTTATATTGTACAAAGGTTGGGGACAACAAATGAAAATCTTTCAAATTTTTATTTTGTCATGCTGAAAACGGATTTAGGTTTTCCAGTAGGTCAGTCGACCGTCAATCCAGTTCCTATAAAAAAAATTGTCACCCGTGCTCGACAATTTCTATTTCCAGTTTCCACCACCCGAAACCCTAAATCGATCCCATTGAAAAATGGTTGAAGAAAACAAAAACGAGGAGAAGAAAACAAGGGAAAATCCATGTACGACCAAACAATCCTCTAAGAAACGGAATCGCAAAGAAGTTGCGATTTTTGGAAACTACAGAAATTACTATGGATACAGAGTACACCTCTTTTCGTCTATTCTAGTCATGTTTAATTTATTTTCCTGCAATTCAATTTGATTTATTGAATGAATTCTATATTTTTATTTAGGTGTATATATTTGTATTTGTTAATAAGTAATTTAGCGCGACAATTTGGTGGACGTTCAGAGTGTATGTTTTATAGATATAGAGCACCACTCTTCTTGTTTATTCTTTCCATGTTTCGTTTATTTTTTTCAGCAATTGAATTGGTTCGGAGTAAATATTCTAGCATGTTAGTGGAATTAGTTATTTGGCCCTTCCGGTTGTGTGGTTTATGGATATGGAGTGCCCCTCTTCTCTCATTTATTTTTCAGCAATTTACTTTGACTGTATAGATGATTATTTGTTTGTTTTTGTGTGTAGATGTGTATATTTGAATTGGTTAATAAATATTTTAGCACGATCATTAGTTGAATGAGTTTGTTGGACCTTTGGGGAGTATATTTTAGAGGAAATTACTAAGATTGAGCTTGCTTGTATATTTTTTGTGCGTGATTTTCTTACAATCTAAAACAGGTGCTCTTTTTGAAAAATCTCTAACTGATTGTTAAGATGTCATTTCCTTTGAAAATTGCATAAATTTATAAGTTCTAAGAAAGTTATACCACAGTTTCAGGAATTAGCACCAAAAATCAACCGAAGTTTTTGCCTTGTGTTTATAAGCTTTAGAATAGAAAACCAAATAAGAAATAACCTAACTTGCGAGAAATTTCAAAATTGTTAAAATTATTAAAAATAGAAATCTTAGTATTGTACAATATTGAGTGATTTATAATTAAAAAAATTCATCCTAGTCCTCATTTCTGGTCATGCCTTCAAGGGTAATTGGCCTGTAGTTGAAGGGATAACACTTTCACATTGGTAAGATGACCAGTCCTAAACACAAAACATTGGTATATATACGGAATATTAAATCTTATTTCTCATAAAGAACCATTGCATATTAAAATCAAGGTAATCCAAAAATGCAAGACAACTCTGTATCTGCCTCTTGACTATTATGAAAAAAGCTTAGCTAGATATAATTAGCTTAGGTGGAGGATAATTGGACAAAACCAAACACCTTAGATTGTTTTCTTTCTTTCATGAATCTCTCAGTCTAAGCACAAATGTGTGATCAACACCTAAAGAGAAAACACGCAATTGGATAATTTTAGACTGGCTTTGAAATTGCTTGCAATCTGGTTTTGTTCAATATTCCTTTGAATGGTGATGGTGGCTAAAAATTATGTTTTCATATTTCAATAAACTGCAGGTTTTCTTGATAGATTTTTCAATGTAATGGTTGATGTAATCAATAGGAAAGTGCGGAAGTAGCTACCATTCCAGTTGTTGTGGGACTAGAGAGCTACAGAAAATTAGGTTTTATTTAAAAAAATGAAAATATTTCATTGTTTAAATTTTTTGAATCAAAGGTGTCATGGCCCTTTCATTGCCTTTGTTATTATAAAACATATTTGAAATAGAATCATACATCTAAGTACTTGTTTTATAAGTCCTACGGATGTAAACTTGTCAGTGGAAAATGTGAAAACTTCCACAATGTTTCGAATATTCAATTCATCTTCTGCAATTGCTCAATGGTGTATGTCAATTGATTTGTACAGTTTGAATTATTTTTAATTTGTATTTTGTGATTATGGTGTTCTCAGGTGGGTCAGGACTTGGAGGAAGATCCTAGAATAAAGGTGTTGAATAGGGAATGGTTTGAAGGCAAAAAATGCCTTGACATTGGCTGCAATAGTGGGTTGATCACAATCGCCATAGGTAATGAATAGTTCAATTTGTTCTATTCTGAATGTCAATTTTTACATACTGATAAATTTTTTACGACTCGCTATTTCATAAACATGCATAAGATTTGAGTCAGTTCACCTGTGCATATGGGAATTTGGAATGTAGTGGCCTTGGCTATTGTCACGTTGAATGTCGAAGTTCATTTTATTCTTCTTTTCTGCAGCAAAAAAGTTTTGCTGCCAAAGCATCCTTGGAGTTGACATTGATGGTGGTAAGTATCTCCAAGTTCTATCTTAGCTCTTTTATGTACATTTCTTTACAACTAGGTCAGATGTCATAATAGGTCTGGGGGATGCGTATTACCCACCCTATTATAGCAGATGAACTTTTGTGGTTATGTTTAATTCTTGCAACTTTCAAGTGCAATTGTGTTTGTATTTACAGGTGAAAATAATTTATTGTTGATTGCCCACTTCAAATATCATTAATAATGATAAGTTGCATTGTAGTACAATATATAATAGTACTTTTATACATGTAGTAGGGTTAATTTGGATTAAACAGTGTGGTCACTATCTATTGCCAAGCACTTACTTTATATCTTATGTCTGTTGAGAGATCATCATGCCATATGGAAAAAAAAACTGGATTTGCCTCTTTGGGCATGTGTTGGATAATACACCAAGATCAGAAATAGATGTCCTTTCGAGCTTGAAACAAAATCGAGCTCTATGGTGGAACAAATAGCAAACCAGATAATTTTCAAGTTGGTTGGATTAAATTTTGGGCAACTTTAGATGTCCTTTATAATATCTGATGTTGCAAGATTAACAAGTGCCTAAGTATGACCTCAGTTAATGGGTTTTTACAATCTTTGGTTGGCCCATGCAGATTCTTCATATGCACTCCCATGAGCATGTAGGGAATTTTTTTTCTATTATTATATTGCTGCTATTAAAATGATATATGTGTAATACTGATCAAATTTAATCACTAGTAAAACTTAGTAATCAAATTTATTTGATTGAATTTCAAATATTTAAATTATCTAACTAATTTTTCATTTTGTAAGAAAATTATAATTTTCCAATTTATCTATTTACTGAAAATGTGAGTATGCTACTATACAGACTACAGTTTAACCATTATAAAATCTGAGTTTAAAATTGATTACCAGATTTTATCTGTTGAACTGTATAGTTGCATTAATCAGATTTTCTTCTGTAAATATAGAAAAATATAATTTTTTTAATTGTTTTTATTTTGTTTTTGGGTTGGGAGGGGAGGTGGGAAAACGAAGTGCTATTGTTACATGGACAATTAAGGTTTCTTGTTCAATTACATTAATATGGACTTTTAGTGGTATATGGGGAAGATGAGAAAGTAATTAGGTACATATTTACACAATTGATGTCCCATTAGCCGAAATTAGGCGAGTTCCCTTGATGATTCTTTTTCCCAGGTGAAGCTCTCTCATGTGAACACGGGTAGATTATTGGTCTATGCCTAATTCATTTATACGAATTGATCTAGTCATCCCAAATATTATGCATATGTGGATATTTATTATGTCTGAGAATATGTCATTGCACACATTTTTCTAAAATGGAATGAATTGTTTTAATCATGGTTCATCATATTACAGATAGAATTGAAGATGCACAGTGGACTCTCAGGAAAGTTGTGAAGATGAGTGCTCATAAATTACCTTCCAAGAAACCCAAATCAGCAGATACGGATTTAATTAATGGGTTGCAGAACCATATGAGTAAATCACCAACTGAAGTGACACTGGAGAAGTCTCCTGATACTCCTCGTTTGCAGGGAGAAGATCTCTTTGACATAGTCTCTTTTCAGAAAGGAAATTTTGTTCAGAATTGGAGGCCACCGGAAGATAACTACCATACAATTCTTTGGTAAGAACTTCTGTTTTTGGTTCTCTGTCTAATTGATTTAATGTTTACAAATGATAGTTCTGTGTATAATCTTCACCTTAAATGAACAAGAAATAGTTTGTTTCACAATTTAATTCAGCGTCCATTAGAGAAAGTTCTGGTGTTTTGATGATGTCATGATTTGGTGGAAAGTTCACTTTAGTTTCTGCTATTTATTTTTGTTAATAAATGGATTTTGTTCTCATTTTCCAGTTTAAGCGTGACAAAATGGATACATTTGAACTGGGGTGATGAAGGATTAATCACTTTGTTTTGGAAAGTCTGGAAGCTTCTTCAACCGGTAGAGTTTATTGATTTCTTATTCATATGCTTTTTCCTGAATAACTCTCGTCTCAACTATGCATACCTCGTTGGGGCAGGGCGGTGTTTTCATTCTGGAACCCCAACCATGGAGCTCATATCAAAACAATCGGCTTGTGTCTGAGGTATTGCTTTACTGCAGGTCTTAAATCACAGAAAAATGATCATTAGAAAGCTATATGGTGAATATTTGTAATATTAATCAGAGGGAGGCCTACAGTGTTTTGATTATTTATTATAACTCTTTTAGAAGTAGTTTGAACTAAATATTTTTTTTCTTTAAAGCTTTACTGTTAAAGATAACTGATCTTTTCATATTGTGCAGACAGCAGCAGCTAATTATAAAACAATTCAGATACCTCCACAAGATTTTCAGGACATACTTCTAGACAAGGTGAATCTGGCTTCAAAGTTGTTTCAATGTAATATTGTACTTAGTGTTCAGAATCAGCTAATGGAACTTTTCAATATCTCACGATAATGTTAATGCAGATTGGATTCCGCAGCGTAGAGAACTTAACTTCCCAATTATCTGGTAGCAAGTCTGGATTTAACAGACCAATATTAGCTTTCTGGAAATGAATAGTTTCAGCACCTACGGAGAAGTTATAAATTTTTGAGTCTTGCGGTAGGATGAATATCTTTGAGGTAAACATTGCTTGAATACCCCATTAATAGAATTGAACAGAAGGAAATGTGCTACGAAAGTGTTCTCTTTCCTATACTCTCTCATATGGTTCACCTCGTCTCTTTTATTAGCTTCCAGCTGATCACCCTGCCTGAAGAAAACGAATGCTGAATAAAACACTCCTATAAATCTTTCATCTTGTCGAGATAAATAACTAAATAATAACAAACGCGCACGCGCGCGCACATATATCGAAAAATTTAGAGTGATGGCTGAATTCCTAATTTAAGACCATGTAAAAATTATATCTAACAACTCAGTTTTAAAGAAAATGATTACCAAAGTCTTCAAAATAAAATTCTCATAAAAGTATCTATACCCAGATTATTGTATCTAGATAAATGATAGGGATAATTGCAGTTGAGGTACCAAACCTTTCACTAAGTAGCAAACTTAGTCCAAACCTTTCATTTGTGCCACTGTAAATGCCGAACTTTTAAATTGATGGAAGCTGTCAGTGCGACCGTTAATTGACCAAGAAATGAAAAATTTTATAATATTAATCAAATAAAACAAGGGCATTTTAGTCAAAGTACATTTACCATTCTATAAAATTATTCTTCTTTCTTCTCCCGTCCCTCCCCTCCATCACAGAACCATCTTTCTCACCCAGCAATCATCGGCGGTGCGCCACCGCCACAAACTATACCCATCTTCACCCACCACGCCGCCGGCGATGACTGCACCGCCATTAAAGATTTGGGGGAAAAAACTGATTAAATAAAACATGAAAATAACCAGTTTATAATCAAATACAATCACCAAATTAGAAACCAAAATTAAAAGGAAAGGCAAAATCGAAATCTCACAGAAGAAGAAACAGCAATATAAATTCAAAACCCATAAAATGCTCAAAATATTAACCACAAGAATCCTAAACTACACAGAAAAAGCATCTCTTGCTGTTTTCATAGAGTCTCTGTCTAGACATCCGCACAAAAGAAAACACTCCACCTCTACAGCAAATGCATTCTTGTCCTTCTCCTCAAAAAACCCTTACGATAATGTTCTCTTTTGTCTAGTGAAGGCGGATGACTGTGTTCACGAGGCTCGAAATTTAGGATTATGCTGAAATTTTCTCCAGTACGCAGCGTAGGTCATCCATTCCGATCCTCGATCTTTCGGGTCTGGACGAACATGTCGAGTCGGGTGATTTCTGGTGGTGGCGTGACACCGGTGATTGGTGGGTGATTGTTGTCAGTGCGATGGGTGAATTTTGGTTTGAGTTCTTTGATGGAGGGCAGGGATGTGGAGAAGAAAGAAGAATACTTTTGTAGAAGGGTAAATATGTTTTGACTAAAATGCCCTTTTTTATTTGGTTAAAATTATGAAATTTTCCATTTCTTGGTCAATTAATGGTCGCAAATCGCAATAGCAATTTCCGTCAATTTGGACTTGACTTATGAATTTTTTAAAGGTTTGGTATCTACGGTGACACAAATGAAACATTTGAGATAAGTCTACTACTAAGTGAAAGATTTGGTACCTTGACTGCAATTATCCCTAAATGATATGTAATTTTGTCTTAAAATAAGTATATGTCCAATAATCTAAGAATATTTGAAAAATAGGAAGCACGATGTAGGTTTATATGTAAACCATGCAATTCAGGGGCGGACGCAGACAATTATAGTTATGGGGTTTAATCGAACTTGGAAAAAAGTTTGGAGAAATTTTACAATCGAAAAAAATCATATCCCATGTAATTTTGCATCCGAAAATTTACATAGAATATAACCTTTTTTTGATGTTAAATTTCGAAATTTTTTAATGTCATATCCCATATAAATTTCCTAATAAAATAATGCAAATTACATTGAGAAATTTGTATCACAAAAATAATAAATATTAATGAAATAATTAATTTTTTTTTAAAAAATGCGAGTTAGACACCTCTTTTTAATACTTACGTTCGATGCATCTTTAACTGTTTTCGATATATGTTTGAACTATTCGATACGCTAATAATGCAGTCCTCGAAATGAGTTTTGAGATAATATAAGCGATTTGTAGATTCGACTATCGTACAATCGTCGGAAAATTTTTAAGGTTAACATGTTATCGAAATTCTCGAAATACTAATTTTAAATTGCTTATTTTAACAAGTCGTAACATTTGTTACAATTGGTCGTTTCGCACGTCGTTAATAACATAAAAAACTAGACTGTGAGCACTTCGAAATGATATTAAAAGTGCAATATTTTGATTTCGTTTCACATCTTATAATGATTTCGAAAAATTAAAACAAAACATAGAAAAAAATAAAAAAGTAAAGTTGGGGGCACGTGCCCCTGGCCCACCCCTGGTCCGCCATGCATGCATGTAAAATTCTTATTACATTTTTCACATTATCATTATATTTGGTAGACCTTACATAAATTTTGAAACGGTGCAGAGACACAAGGTATTTATATTTTGTTTTCAACATCACAAAGTGGATCATTTAAAAAACTTAAAAAATATAAAAAAAATCAACTACACAATTTTACTAATAGGTAACATCAACTGGATCATTAATAGATTATCTCGAAAACATAACTTTAACAATCCAAAATTAAAATACATAGTGAATACATGTCGGCTAGAAATATTGAACAAGAGAGTCATTGTCCAACATCTTCTTACCGATGGGCCAATACACAATCAAATATACCACAAACATTTAAAAACAACCCTTATTACAGACTACGGACACATCCACACCGGTGCAAACACGTGCACATTTTATTGGAATACACGATAAAAAGGCTTATATATCAATAACTTGTCTCAATATCTTTTGTGACTTCAATGAAGTAAGCCAGCAAAGAGATTGGATGTTTCACATCTTCATTCAGCATCTCATACTCCAAAGTCCATGTGATCATGTCTATGATACCTTTGGTTTCAACATGAATAGTTATAATGAAGTCCTTGAACTCTTCCATCAAATCTCCTTCAAGCATCTTGTATTTGATTAATTTATTTTCCTCCTCTATGGCTTCAATCACCTGCTTAGCTCTCTTTTCCTTTCCATCTGTTATACCCACAAATTAATTTCATCAGTTGCAAACTCATAATTGATAGAGCTAAATATAGGTAAAGGTTGACGCATAAAATGTTCATTCTAAGAGCGTGATGGCAATAGACCAAAACAGAAGGGAGTGAGATCAACTCAGACAAACATCTCGTTGTCGTTGCTATGAATCCAATTATTTTAGATCTTTCAATAAATTTAGCTACAAACATAACAGAGTCGAAAAATTTCATATAGTCAGTTAATATGCAAACCAACATGATGTTGTACAAATCTCTTACTAGATTTATCAATTATGAATCGTCTGGGATGATAAAAATGGATTCATGTAGTCAATTACAAATTTATTATGACATGAAAAAATCGTAAAATATAAATGGTAAAAATCTCGAATCATGGATGTAGACGTATATGACATGCATACGTACCATGGGTGTACCTCCAGCAAATTTTGGAGCCAACCTTTCCATATTCCCCTTCATGGAGATCACAACCTTGTACTAACTTGGGTATTTTGTGGGATATGTGGTGTGGTTTGTGCTTGAAGAGGTCATGAAATACATCTCCTCCATGCTTGAACTCTATTTGAGCAACCAACGTACCAGTTAGCCCCATCTCTTCAACAATGCAGATATAAACACTTACAAGATACAAATACTCAATTCTTCGACTCTTTATATAGCTGAGGCCTAGCTGCTTCACTCCTACCAATTTTTATTCTAGGTCCCCAATATGTGAACTGTATTGCAACTTGATCCCCCAATCTACGTTTTTTTGATTGGAGTGGTCACCAACCTATTGGTTGTGGCATCGATAGTCCGTGATGCGATTACCTAATCATATATGAGCCTAGGTGCTTTACTCATACCCAAGTTGCATTTAATTACAATCATGCTGCATGTACATAATTATTCACATAATCTTTTACATCCTCCTTATATGGATGGGGTCCCACACACAATAAAATATTCGTGCACACTATTCATGTGAGACAAGTGTACGTACACCTGATGTACAAACAACTTTATCCATTTAATTAATGGGAAATTTCGACACTGTCCCCTATCAACATATGAGCCTACGTCGCACCAATCATATACCTCTTGTTGGGCCTACAACTTATATCCACTTTTGTTCACATATTCCATATGATACACAACATATAAGTACTTAAAAGAACTATCAAACAAACTCTTAATTACTAGAAAAATGCTAGCACTTGTCCCCAACCTATATTAACTGTCTTGCAACTTAGTCCCTGATCTGTTTCATTTAGCTAGTGGTCGCCAACCTATTGGATTTGTGCCTTAAATGCCAATACTTGATCATTTAGTTGAGCCTAAGTCCTTCTCTCGTACCCCCAATTGTCTTTAATTATTGGGAACATTCTAATACTGATTCCAAACCTATAAACTATGTAGCAACTTGATCTCCAACTCTATTATTATTATTTTTTTTTGCCAGTGTCATCTCTGAACTAGTAGTTTTTTTGGTGACGACCATGGACGGACGCAGGGGTGGCCTGGGGGGTCACGTGACCCCCCAACTTTGGTCTTCTTTTTTTCATTAATTTTTCTGTTTTTGTTTCAATTTTCGAAGTCTATATGGAATGTGAAACGAATAAAAATATTACATTCTTAATATCATTTCGAATTGATCATGGTCTAGTTTTCTATGTTGTTAATGACGTACGAAACGATCAATCGTAGCAAATGTTACGACTTGTCAAAGTAGAACGTTCAAAATTAGTATTTCGAGAATCTACAAATTGTTTATGTCATCTCAAAATTTATTTCGAGAACTACGTTATAAGCATATCGAATAGTCCAAACAGATATAGAAAATAGTTAAAGATGCGTTAAACATACGTCTTCAAAAAAAGAGGTCTAATTCGCATTTTCTTTAAAAAAAAATTAATTATTTCATTAACATTTATTATTTTTGCAATACAAATTTCTCAATGTATTTTTATCATTTTATTAGGAAATTTTATATGGAATATGATATCAAAAAATTTCAAAATTTTACATCCGAAAAAGTCATATCCCATGTAAATTTTGGGATGCAAAATTATATGGGGTATGATTTTTTTGAACGTAAATTTTCGATTGTAAAATTTCTCACAACTTCTTTCCAAGTTGGATTTTGCCCCTAGCTTTAAATTTCTTCGTCCGTCCCTCGTGACTGCTGCAGTTCTTAATGACAAATTATTTAATAGAGTCGCAGGCCCTATCTGCTCCACTTTTATTTAATTATTTTGCAAGTTTGTATTATTGTCCTTCACTCCGATCCAAATTGTATTTAATTATTTTAGAAGTTTATATAATTGTTTAATTTACGCTAGTCAAGTAATCATTTATTACTTAAATGCTTTTTTTAATTGTAAATTACTTTTCCTTCATCATATTTTCATTATAATAAGCATTTACATGGGTTGACAGTAGACAGGCAAAGCTGTAGATGAAAAATGTTTAATATTAGTTATGTCACTCAGATATTTTGTCCCTACAGAATCCTTATCACGTTAATATTAATATTGAGAGAGTGACTCAAAGTNTCCTTATCACGTTAATATTAATATTGAGAGAGTGACTCAAAGTCGTTGGGAGCAGTTCACTATTAAATGTATTAGCTAAAAAGAGTTTTTAAAGAATAGTATGCAGAAACAATTCGTTACGTTTTCCAATTCAGCCCCCGATTTCAGCCACATTGAAATTTTCATTTTCATTTTTCTATTTATTTTTAACCACACATTTTTCAATAAAATAATATTTTTATATCACATCAATAATTTTTCCTTCTTTTTTAATCACACATTCTCCATCAATCTACTTTTCCAAAATACATTCTTCCAAAATAATGTGACTCAAACACACTAAACAACGAGCCAGCCTACATGTATAGAAAAAACCCACAGAAAACACACAAATTATTGGGGCTCACTTTTTTTTTTACAATATTTAAGTCACGTGGAGCCAACACCCATGGGAGTATCGACTTTCTACTAACGTAGGGTCCCATCTGCTGGTATGCATTTTTAATTGATTGGTGCAATTTTTAACTTTTCCGAAAGAAAAATGCTAAACGACCAGCACCGGTGATCACGGGGATGACCACACACTCACAGTCGAGGCACGAGACTCACGTGTGTGCGGTCATCCCCGACGTCACCCACGCTTGCACTATAGCACGGCTCTTTCCGGAATACTGCCACTGGCTTTCAAGGCCTACTATAGCAGGAGTGCTCATTGCACACGGTAGCAAAGGGATTAGGATGTTAAAAACAGTTTGTGTACAATAACATGTCATGTGCATTGCAAGTGATTGGATAGGTAACATAGTGGTGTCAACCGAGCCGAGTGGCTCGTCAGTTCGGCTTGTACTGTTCACACCCACGAACAGTTCCGACTCGTTAAAGAGCGAGCACAAGCACGAGTTGAGCGGGCTGCCTCGCTAAACGAGCAGCTCGGCTCGTCACTATTCACGAATCCTTATCACGTTAATATTAATATTAATATTGAGAGAGTGACTCAAAGTCGTTGGGAGCAGTTCACTATTAAATGTATTTTAGTTAAAAAGAGTTTTTAAAAAATAGTATGCAGAAACAATTCATTACGTTTTCCAATTCAGCCCCCGATTTCAGCCACATCGAAATTTTCATTCTCATTTTTCTATTCATTTTTAACCACACATTCTTCAATAAAATAATATTTTATATCACATCAATAATTTTTCCTTTTTTAATCACACATTCTCCATCAATCTACTTTTTCAAAATACATTCTTCCAAAATAATGTGACTCAAACACACTAAACAACGAGCCAGCCTACATGTATAGAAAAAACCCACAGAAAACACACAAATTACTGGGGCTCACTTTTTTTTTACAATATTTAAGTCACATGGAGCCAACACTCATGGGAGTATCGACTTTCTACTAACATAGGGTCCCATCTGCTGGTATGCATTTTTAATTGATTGGTGCAATTTTTAACTTTTCCGAAAGAAAAATGCTAAACGACCAGCACCAGTGACCACGGGGATGACCACACATTCACAGTCGAGGCACGAGACTCACGTGAATAAAATAAGCCCCACCTCTCATGTGTGTGTGCGGTCATCCCCGACGTCACCCACGCGGGCACTATAGCACGGCTCTTTCCGAAATACTGCCACTGGCTTTCAATGGCCCACTATAGCAGGAGTGCTCATTGCACGCGGTAGCAAAGGGATTAGGATGTTAAAAACAGTTTGTGTACAATAACATGTCATGTGCATTGCAAGTGATTGGATAGGTAACATAGTGGTGTCAACCGAGCCGAGTGGCTCGTCAGCTCGGCTTGTACTGTTCACACCCACGAACTGTTCCGACTTGTTAAAAAGCGAGCACAAGCACGAGTTGAGCGGGCGGCTCGCTAGACGAGCCGCTCGGCTCGTCACTATTCACGAGCGGCTCGTGGGCTCGTATATATATATATATATATTAGG